CTCGATGGCACTTAACAATAACAACAACAATCTAAAGAAAGGAGCTCTGGTAGCATAGTGGTTACAAATCGGGCTGTGAACCTTAAGGTCAGCGGTTCGAAACTACCAGCTGCTCTGTGGGAGAAAGATCAGGCTTTCTACTCCCATAAAGATTTATACCCTCGGAAACCCTGTACAGGGTCGCTATGGGTCGAAACCGACTCGACGGCACTTAACAACAACAACAACATCCCTTTGTTCTATTCGAACTGCTACTTCATCTATATACAGGTCCCATATGAGCACAAGTAAGTGTCCTGGGATTCCCATTTGCATTGCTATCCATAACTTGTTATGATCCACACAGTCAAAAGCTTTTGCATAGCCAATGAAATCCAGGAAAACATCTTTCTAGTGTTCTCTACTTTCAGCCAAGATCCATCTAATATCAGCAGTGATCGCCGTCATTTCCTATCCTCTTTTGAATTGGGCTTGAGTCTCTGGAAGTTCCCTGTTGATGTATTGCTATAACTCTTTTTGAAATACCTTCAGCAAAATTTTACTTATGTTTAATATTAATGATATTGTACCACAATTTCTACATTCTGTCTGATGTCTGATCACCTTTCTGTGGGCACAAAAATGCCAAAATTCTTGGTGTAGATGAGTTAGTACTTTGAGCTTTGTTGAAACATCTCATTTTTGTTCTGTCAGTGTAGCTTGGACTTCTTCCTCCAGTACTGCTGGCTTTTGATCATTGACTGTCTCCTGAAATAGAGGAATAGCAACCTGTTCTTGTTGTTACAGTGACTGTGTCCCTTCCATCTTTTGATACTTCTTGCATCCTTCAATATCTTGCTTATAGAATCCTTCAGTATTGCAACCCAAGGCTTGAATTTGTTCTGTCAGCTTGAGAAGTGCTGAATGTCTGCTTCCCTTTTAGTGTTTTTAACTCCAGGTTCAGAAAAGACCAAAATAGTGTAGACTATGAAACTTGCTCTTTAACAAAGAGTAACTAAAGTAAATGGAAGAAATGATGAAATAAAAGATCTGAACAGAAGATTTCAAAGGGCAATTTGAAAAGACAGAGTAAAATATTGTACTTACCCCTCACTTATCGACTATCTCATTATCTAACATGTTGCATTTAAAACACTAAAAACATATCCAACTATTTTGCTCAGTAATGACTTATGTCTGGCACTAATGGGCGCTGAGGTGCGAGGCAAGGGTAATGCTGGCTGTGATGGCTGAGGTGGTATGTCAGCTTGACTGGGACTTTCAGTGGTTTAATAGTTATGTAATGATGTAATTTGGTAGTTATGTAATGATATAGTCATCTTCCTGTTTGTGATTGGCTGTGGTTATGCTCCATTTCACATAATGCAAATTTTCCGTAACAACATGGTCTTTGGAACCTAACCCTTTAAAACTTCCTTTGTACTAGGTATGTATGTGACTGCAGTCCAGAGTTATGTTTAATAAGTTAGTTCTAACCCAATGATGTTTACCTATATGATGACAACTGATTGGTCTTGTTCTATCATATAATATATCATACTGTCTTACCAGGTCTTCTGCACTTTGTTAGCTTAGTTGTGTGTGCGTTTCTTGTAATTTAGGGGGCTCCGTATGATAAGTTCAACGTTCGAGCATACCAGCCATTCTGGGGGAGCAAGATGAGGCTTTCTGCTCCCACAAAAATTTTAAAACCCTCAGAAATCCTATACATGGTCACTATGAGTCAGAACCAACTTGAAGGCAATTGACAAGTTTCGTTTTAGAAGTTACTTTTCTAACTCTGACTTTGAGTGGTACTCCCTAGCATGTGCAATGATGGAATTAATTACCCCCTCTCACTGACGTGGTAAGGCTCCAATGACCAGATTGTTATGTGAAATCAGTGTGACATGATACTTGGGGGTTGTTCCCTACCTTTGCCGATGGTGTCTCCCTGCCTCAGTCACTCACCACTCATCAGCTGCCCCTGGTGCATCTTGGGATGCATGTGGCATAGTGGGCCTCCTCTTCCTCCATACCTTCCCACTACTGCAGAGCCAGTGGGGCCTAGGAGTGGAGGTGGTAGTGGTTGGGTGTTACCCACTACTCATCATCTCCTGGTGCCTGACCTGGGAAGAGACTCTGCTCCTTCTCCATCCATCCTGTTCCAAAAGCCCTTCCTTCCCCCACCAGCCTCCCCAGCAGTTTCAGGTGCTCACCCAGCTGCCTCTGTCCACCAGATACGTTATACTGTCTTGCATCGCTGCACTGCCATGGCCAGACCAAGACACTAGATGAACAGGAGAAGGTATCCTGAAACTGATTGGCTGCCACTTCTCGTGTCCCAGTCTGTTGGGGACTGTCCTCGACATAGTTGTGTTGTTCATGAGTGTTTGGTTCACGAGGAGGGGAGATCCAGTGGCGATAGGGATAGCGAAAGAATACACAGACAGACAAACAGAGGGAGACAATGAGGCACCCCGAAACCAGGGTGGATGCATCACTGGTGGGCAGACTTGGGACTACAGGCATCGTGGCCTCTGCAGGCAGCAACTCACTGCTCTGCAATCTTTACTGCATGCCCTCCAACCTGTAATGCACACCTGGGCTGGCCTGGGCCTCTGTTTTATTTAGGGGAGGAGCTTCACACCAAGCTGGGAGGGACTAAGACAAGGTACAGCTAACATCAGTAATTTTGCAGACATTAAGGTAACTTTACATCGTACCTCGCTGGTTCGAATCCCAGGCCCGCAACTTGGTTTCTCAGGCTCAATTAACATATGTATAGCCCCTGAGCTCAGTTGGGGCAAGGTGAAAGGGAAGGACAAAAGGCTTGGGCGGAGTCCCACTGTTTTGGCTTCCTGAGCCAGGCTTTCAGGAACTTGGCTGAAAAGCTAACACCTGGGACAGATCTAGGGAAGATGACTTTTTTGTCTGTAGAACAAAGAACTGCAAAGTAGCTAAGATATTTTTAGTTAATCCTTTGGAGGAAGGCTTGACCTTTGAAACCTCTACAGTCTTCGGCTTTAGGAAAATAGTGCATTTATCTGTGGACATTAAGGGCTCATGTTTGGAATGAATAAATATAACTGAACACTAAGATGAAAAACAATTTGCTATTAACTGCCAAGTGGCTAGATCTGTTCCACAGAGCCTGCGACCTGTAACACTCGGGCCTATAGGGCCTCGAACTTCTGACCAGGCTTACACGGTCTGCAACACCAGTCGTTGCTGGGGCATTGGTGTATCATTCAGAGTGGCCCGTGGAGGGTGCCCTGACCCTTGCATGGGGCCCAGACTGTCCGAGATGCCACATGAGAATTTGTACAAGTTGTAAATGTAAAATGTTGGATAACAAGCTAGTCAATAAAGGAGAAGTGAGGTGTATTTCCTCTTCCTTCTTCTCACTCTCCCATCACTGATCAAATCATATTATCTGCCTTAGTGTTGTCCTTTATAATGTTAAACATACTTTTACTTCCGTCAGGTTCTCAGAAGTTCTAAATACATTGAGACCAGGGCAGATTTTTACCAGAAGGTTCTTTTTCCATTTTAATTGGCTTCTTCCCTTGCTCCTAGGAAGTCCCTCATGTCTGATCCAAGCTGAATGAAGTCTTGGTTGTTTGTTGGGCTGCCTGCCTGCTGCTGCCTCCTCATTGGCCAGCAGTAAAACCTGGTTCTGTCACAGGCAGGGGCTTCACCAGGAGGTGCTCAGCACACTCTGCCAGAGCTCCCCAAAATGAGGAGCGCTAGTCCTGCACAGCTAGGTGCTCAAAACTTGCTTTCTCCTGAGGTACTTAGGTTAGGAAAATCTCTTTGCCTAGCTCTCCAAAGTCGTAACAAGATTGCATTCCTGGGCACCTCATTCCCTTCATTTCAGCTTCTCATGCTAATATGAACAAATATTTTCAAACTCAACAGTGTCAGAAGAAATCCTGGTAGACATTGAAAAGACCTTCTGACCCCCAACCTGGCCACACTTTTACCACACCACCACCACCAGGTCGTCCAGCCCCACGTGCCTTTTTCTTCACTGGGCTCTTCCTGGCTCCAGAGTTCAGGTCACTTTTGATGCTATCACAGCGCCACCTGGCTGAGAGAGAGCCGGGTCTGGTAAAACTGATGTCTGCAAAGGTCTTTTAGCTCCTTCTAGGAGCCCTGGTGTGGCACTGTGGGTTAATGCGCTGGACTGCAAAAGTTTGAACTGCAAGGTCAATGGTTCAAGCTCACCAGTAGCTCCTTCGAAACCCTATATGGGGTCACTATGGCACTTAACGAGTCCTAATGTGGCGCCGTGGGCTAATGTATCAGACTGCAAAGTCATTTGAACTGCAAGGTCGGTGGTTCAAGCTCATCAGTTGCTCCTTGGAAACCCTATACAGGGTTGCTATGGGTTGGAATCGACTCAATGGCACTTACCAACAACACATTCTCTTTCAGTGTCTGTCCTTCCTCATGTTTCTTTGTAGCCCCTCCGCTCACACCTAATCTGTTTTGGGTTTCCTTTAATTCATAGTGACACCAACACCCCAATCATAAAGGCATCAAACAGAAAGCAGAATAATTTCCTAGACTCCAGCAAATGAACCTGTACTTTAGGCATTCTGAGAGAGGCAGGAAATACTTTTGAAGAAGTCTTGGTGCCCCTTGAATCCTTCTGTTCACAGGCCATGGGGTTAGTCAAACTCAAACCCTGTCCTCCTCCCCACACACCCACCTCACCAGCGCCACCGCCACCACCACACAAGCTAACACAGCATCATCAGTTAGGGTTTATTTAGCCCAGTGCTATAATGGTAGAGGAGCCAGCATGTGGGAGGGGGCTGGAGTGGGGCCAGTTCTCCTGGCACAGACACCCCTCTCATACCCAAGCATCACTTCATGGTCACTAAAATGGAGACCTATAGTTAGAGCCTACATCCCCTAGTTGCTCTGATATCCTATGGAGCTAGCATGTGAACTGGATGAATGAACACAGAGCCCCTAGGGATGGTCTCTGAGCAGGCAGTATGGTGAACAGCTTAGTTAGGTGGGTTCTGGACTGGTCCACAGGAAGCCCCTCCACCTTTGTCCCCTCCAGGGAAGATGACTGTGGCATATGTCACAGGGCTGGAGCAGATTAGGGCCTTAGGAGGCAGAGAGGAGGATGGCGATGGGAGTGGGGGTTTCCCTGATATGCTGGCATAGGTGGTATTGTCAAAGGAGGGTGGTGAGTCGAGCCTAACATATGGCACACTCGATGGCGAATCCACAGCCTGTCCAGGATCACCGATACAATGAGCCACTGAGGAGGGGTCCTGTAAGAAAAGCAGGTGAATCAGGAAAAGCGAGGGTACCTCCCTGGCCTCGTTCCCTTTGGTTGGAAGCCTGAGAGCACACGGCGCTGGCTAGGGCTTCACATGTTCCAGTAGTAAATTTCTCCCCAGGTCTGGGAAGGTGGGCACCACAAGGGAAGCCACCGGTGCCAAGTCTATAGCATTTAGGACCAGAGCTTGAGTCCTTTCTCCAGCTCATCATCCTGGGACCTCTCAAGAGCATGTGGAGTGGAGGGTTTGAGGATCTGGGGAATGTGGTGTTGGGGTCTGCAGAGGCCTCTTACCATGCCTGGAGCTGTGCTATTCTGGAATGGACAACTAGCAGCGAGCCTGTTCCCTGCAGGACAGAAAACAGCAGCACCTTCTGCTTCCTGTGCAGGCTCTGCACCCATCCCCCACTCCCTTCACTGCCCCTGAAGCCCCTGTCCTGGTCTAGCCTGTTGCTCTCTCACCCTCCCCACCGCCAAGCCTTTCTTCTGTCTTTCCAGACCCCAACTGTCCTTATAACCAACTGCTTCCACAGTTCCCACCAACCTGCCTCCCGAAACCCTCCCCCTTGCCTCCTCCAATCCCACTGCCCCACCCTTTCCAAGTCCTTTCTTTTCCCACCCAGACCTGCACCCACCAAATCTCCTTCCTCCCCCTTCATCCCTCAGCCACATAAACCCTAGGGTATAGGGACTTTATAAAAAAGTCTGACAACCATTTGTAGGGGCGTGGATCTAGGCTCCTGGCCTAGTGGGCAAAGCTAGTAGATACCAGACCATCGGGACCAGGCTGGGGCAGGTGAGTACACAGCTATCCACCTTTCCTTTTGGCCATCGCAGCAAACAGCACCACTGCCACTGCCACCACCAGCAGGCCTAGCAGGACCACCGCGCCCCAGATCAGTGGGATGCTGTGTGACAGAAAGGGGCAGCTAGCTTAGCTC